GGCTGTCACTTTCTCTCCTCCCCGCTGGGACGCAGGCCAGCGCCCAGCAGGGAAGAAAGAAACCAGGGATGCGCCGATGTATCGGCAGGAAAATGGCACTTTCGGCCGATATGTTTTGGCGGCCGATATATGCATCCCTAATCTCTAGGTGCATCTCTAATAATTAGTTCAGTCGCATTAAGTGTTTTTCTAAAAGAAATTATCAGTATTTGGTTTGAAGTGGCGGGTCGGCACTTTGAGACACATATGTTGGTTTAGTGATCCAGTTTTGGACACTCGGGCTCAAAAAAGGCCATCACTGGTCTAAGATATTTCAATGTTTTTTTTAAAGTTCAGGAGTTTATGTTTTTTTTTTTTAAACTTCTTAAAGTGTATTTAAAACCAACCAACCAACTTTCTTTTTATAGATTTATTAGTAGTGACAACTTACATTTTGGGATTTTCCTGTCATTTAGACAATGGTCTCCAGGACTAATAAAAGGGGTGAATCTACCCAGTGGGGAAAGAGAAAACAATAGGGAGTTCTCAGGGGCGTAACCACAGATCATGGGGCCTCATAGCAAATTTTTTATGGTGTCCCCCAGCAACCTCCCTAATGTAAATGCTATTGATGTCAGGTAGCAGGAGAGCTGCCTGCATAGTCCCCCCCGTACATCTTATGTCAGCTCTTTTTGATTAATAACGTCAGTGTCAGCAGCAACTTCTGCAATCCTTATTGGGGCCCTCTTCCACCCCCAGGCCCCATAGCAGCCGCATGGGCCGCTATGGCTCCTGTTACGCCACTGGGAGTTCTAATCCTTACCTAATCTATCTTAACTAAAAAACGTTTTGGTTTTAGATATATTTTTTGTAGCATCACACAAAATAAAAAACACAGAAAAATGATGAATACATAAATGTATGAAAACATTACAAACAGAACTGTAAAAGTTAATAAACTTTACACTTCAAATATTTAAAAAACAAAGAGAGCGAAGGGCAGACGAATGTAGATAACTGTGTAAGACAACATACAACACTGATAACAGCGGAGACTGTTTGATCCTCCTCCGTTTAATAAAGAATGTACATTTACAAGCGAGTGTTTGTAACACTGGAACACTAAGAGCCAACGTGCCGCACTAGATTTTCCAATACATGGGCTAATTATCTATAATGTAATTTTTTAACTTCTCTGCCAATTCTAAATGTATATTCTTTTATGACAAAAATAAAAAAAACTTGACAGAGGTGCCAAACCTTCCCTACTCTTTCCAAAACATAAAAAGTGTTTTAGTGATACATACTCTTTAAATGGATCTGGGTCTTCGGGCAAATCTTATATACAACAGAAAATTGCTGAGAGGCTGCCGTGAGCAACATCAGAAGAGGCCCACAAGAAATCATTGGTTGGAGATCCGTGCGTTAACTAGCCATACACCTGAAGATTTTTCTCATTCAGCCCAGGAGAAATCACTTCCCCCATCCATGCTTCTGAGCAAAGATTGTCGTCTGGCAATTTTTCACCTGGCTCCTTCGATTTTCAGATTAAAGCTGGGTGGTATTGGCAGGGCTGCCAATGGACCAAATTTGGCCGATTCAGTAAGAAATGCACGAAATTCAATCAGTGTATGGCCAGCTTTACAGGAACATTTACAAGCCAGCACTAACCCTACTACTTCCATCCAGATAGAAAGAAGGAAAGAAGAGCCACAGCCTTTTCATAAAAGATAGTCAATATTAAAAATAGTATTAATGTGTCACAGGTAAAGTGTATCTAGAGCTAAAATATTTTTTAATACTCTGGAGAGAGTAATAAAAGGTTAGAATCCCTGTCAGTTTTTTGTTTATTTTTGCTTTTAGTGTATGGTTGTGGACATTTTCCTTTACTCCCTGCGCTGGAGACACAGAGGAAAAACCTCTCCAAAGTGAGGGGAAATCTCTAAGACAGATGCCAGCGGAACAGGTGTTCCAATTGGAATATTTCAGCATGGCCAAGACATGCAGCCGTGAGGATGTTTGTCTGACGAACTCCCAGGCCGCAGTATATTTTACAGCCTTACCGAGCCGTTTTACCCACTACTGCCACCCTATATGCACCAGTCTGTGAAGCAGAAACCAGAGGAGCACCTCACAACCACTCCCTGCTCTGGAATGGATAGTTTCCTCATGACACATCCACCTCAGGCCACCCTCCGGAGTCTGCATGGCGCTCCAATGCCCTCATTGGGCTTGTGACAGGGATCAGTGAACACAGCGAGTTCTCCCTCCTAAGCTCTCAGTGACTTATCCCCCTGCCTGCCTCATTCTTCAACACAATTGACAGTGGGCAACTCCGGGGACAGCAACATGGACCCTTTGTACAGAGCCAGAGTGATATGCAAGACAGGCTTGGCTCTGCCCCTCGCCACTCTCTAAAATCTCAGGGCTCTTCTCCTAACCCTCATGCCCAGGCAGAGACCAGTCACAATCCCTTGGAAGCAGAGCTTTTCCGAGCGGCCACCCGTGCCATTTAGCACTGTGGGCCCTGATGAAAACATTGCCGTCAAGAGTGGATTTTGAGCTCCTTGCTAACCGGGTAGTCTGCCCAGAAAAAGGACATTGCCCAGGTCAAACAGCACATGGTAGATTTGGACACTACCATCACACACAGTTGGATTATGTGGTGTGTTCTTCCCAGTGTGCGATTGCCGGCCTGGTGAGCGCTCACTCTTCTACCTCTTTTCACATAAGGCAATGTCATTTGCTTGTCGATGATCTAGAAAATTGTAATTGCAGACAATATTAGGATTACAGGGATCCCAGTGGTCACAGCTGCCGCTGATCTCCATTCCACTGTGGTGGCAATTTTTAATGTGTTAGTGAAAAGGCCTATGCATGAGGACATGTGTAGGACCCCTCCCCTGTTTAGGCATGGCTGTTAAAGTTTGAGTCTGATGTCCTTGTTCACACATCTTGTGAAATGGTTGCTTTCTCCAAAGTGTGCACCTCACGGTCCTGGAAAGAATGTCAATTAAGGGGTAGGAAAACTGTAGAGTTTTGACATTTAGAATTTGTCCTCCTATGTTGGGCGATTTGTTTGCTGAGAGATTGTTTTGTCTCTCCAATGTACAGTTCTTTGCATTCCTCAATATACTGCACTGCACATACCAAGTTACTTTGTTTATGTTTGGTTGTCGGGTCTTTTGAATGTACAAGTTTCTGTCTCAGTGTATTGCTGGGTTTTAAAGACACAGGGATGTAATGTTTGATAAAGAGTTTTTCTGACACTCCATGGGATGACTAAATTACTCAGTGTTTTCTGCTTCTCTCCTCTGCTCAGTGGTCCCACGTTTTTATATTACCTTGTGGCTGTGTAAGGAAAGCCCAGTCTGAGCAGCCAAAAACGGTGTCTTTTTTTTTGTCTTGTTCTCTGTCTTTTTTTTAGACTCTTGCTATTGCAGCCTGGCGTTGCAGAGTTCTAGTGACCCCCAGTTTGCATTCCAGTGGGTAGGTTTCAAAAAGCAGATACTAGTCTGTGTGGGTAGGTTTCCTGTAGACCTCAATGTCCAAATCACTCCCCTCCTTGACATGTAATACAGTTCAAAAAGGATACGTGAAAGAGCTCAAGGCCCTATTCTCTATCTTCTCCACGTATAGATTAGCTAAAATGGGAGAAAAGGGTGATCTCATGGCACAGACATGTTTCTGTCTGTAGAAGTGATCTTGTACTTGAAACAGGCGGTGTTGAGACAAATGTCCAGCATAGAACATACTTGGTTTGGCTTGAGTACTAATTGGCTGTCACAAATCTTATCCTGTTTCAATTGTTTTGCTTATAGTCTCAATAGCCCCTGCATTGGTATACAAATGAAAATGGATGTGACATCATAAGTCTTTTTCTGGCTCTAACCTCAATTCACAAACCTTTATAAAAAATTCTGAATATGGTATATCATGTTGCCAACTAAGGGTGATGAGATATTAGCCAGATATAAATGCTGGGCTACGTTTCTGATACACATTTGAATGGAAGAAGTGGCTTGGAAAAGCTATGAAACATCATCAATATTACAAAATAAGTCCAGCTGAATGTGACTATTAATAGCCATTTTAATAATGTGATTGGATAATGGGGACATTTATCCACTGATCCATGTCAAATGTGGAAATTAATTATAGGTCTACTTCAATACAAATGGAGTGAGATACCCTGGTGCTTGGCTATTATACATTTCTATTATTCTTAGATAACCTGTTTAAAGAGAAGAAAGTATGCTGTATATTGGTGATATCTGAAATTTCATAAATCATCATGTAGAATAGCTTACTATTTTATATAAGATATAGTACTGAATGCACTATTTATATTGTTTACTTACCCCACAGAACTTTGTTTTGCTTTAATTCACTTGGAATTGGCTTGTCAGAATAGACATCACTGAAGTACATCTCTCCACCATCCTGTAAAACACAATGTTCTTTTAAATGATGTGACATTGAAGACAGCAGATAAAGTGAAAAATATCTGCCCTGTCTAGGATATAATAGACTATCTCAAGTTAGAGTATGCTTCATCCAGAACGACCGGAATGTGCCTGTTTATTTTCAGCATACCGAGATTGCATCACTCTAGTTTACTAGAATTGTCCATTATAGAAAAGTCAAGATCAGCAAAACTGGAAAAACACATGGCTCGTCCATACTAAGTAAACAGTCATGTATTTTAAGCCATGGTATTGGTCAAAGGATACCTTTACAAAGTGATTTTATATATATATATATATATTTAAAAAAATTATCCTTGAAAGGATACCTGTAATGATATCATGGTTTCCATCAATGTGCTTCTTTTGAAATGCTAGTTGCTTTGCTGATATGCTAAACCCCTGGATTCAATCATTTGAGTAACCTACAACTAGTTTGCAGCCAGTGATGTCAAAGCTTCTCTTCTGTATACCTATTCCAGGTCAGTAAATGAGAATAAAGTGGAGCCATTGGATCGCCATGGCAGGAGAAGAAAGAATGTCAGTGGTGGCATAGCACATACTATTTCTTTGATAAGCTCCATGTAAAGGGAAACTATAATGCCTTTTGATCAATTGTATTACAATGTTTTGGAATGTTTACACATATAAACATGTTCTACATAATGTTTCCATTTTTTATAATTTTTTTTGATTTACAAACATACATTTACCAAGTGTGCTTTAATGATACAGTATCTGATAAGAAAGACCACTTGTTGTGGCGTGCTTTCTATCTCTGTACAATTATGCATCCTAAAGAGTCCCTTGAGCAGGCAGCTGTTTGTGTTTTGAAGAGCAGATACATACTAAGAATTAAGTGGTCATAGAACCCAATAGTGGAGCAAAATGGCAGACAACTGACTTAACTGCACAATTTGCTGGCTGTACAAGGTACAAATAACATTTCCAATTGCAACACTTTATATTTACCTGACCAAAAAGTAGGAGTTTCTACAGAGCAACGAGCAACATTTTTTTAAACGGCTAATTTGCCCAAAAGATTCTAAATTAAATACAGGCAGAAAAGAGTCAGTCTATACATACTAGTAATAGCAGTGATGGACCACAATATGACATTCATATACTGAACGTCATACTGCTGTGCTGACTTGTGGTGTGACATCACAGGCGAGTTGGGTTTGTTAGCTAATCCCTGGTTATTCGCTTTGTAATCTGGGTGCAATGTATCACTCCTAGTTTACCTTCAGCACTCGAAAAGCTTCTTTTAGCACAGCCTTCTTATCCGGAGACAGGTTTATGACACAATTGGATCTGTCATTCAGAAGAAATAGATTTGTAAGATTATCAATCCAGTGGTCCCGTTCAAGTTTCAGCACATGAGCAGCATTTAAAAAAGACAGCTGTTACTTTAAACTAACTTTTGCTGAACTCACCCCCACTTAAGCTAAACTATACTAACCCCCATCTCTGCAGCTGCCTACTTCCCTTAGATCCAGAACTGTGTCCTTCAGCATTGTTTACATCCTGTCCAGTGATTAAAGTGACAGGTGACCTTTAAAGTCAAAGAACATACGAATATAAAAGAGATTTGGCACAGGTAAGACAGATCACACGTACAGATTTCAGCTGTGAATTTAGCTGTTTGACTTCCTTTTCACTTTAAATGTGTCTACAAGCTACACTAATGAAATTCGAATTCATAAAATCTGTGCAGTTAATTATATTAAACCTAAACTCTTTATAAACTCTGTATAGTGAGGGTATTAACTATCCCTCATTTTCTTACGTCTCTGAGACTTCTATGGCAAGATTGTCCTTCAGTAGATTGTTTCTGCCTCCTACCACAAGGGCTATATAAAAGGCATTACCCTCTCACAGCTGGGTTCTACAGTTATTTGTTTATCTTACAATAATGAGAATTATTCAGAAAACATGATAAAAGGTACCATCACCGTCAGAGGAGTATGAGACGCCACCATGTAAGGCAAATCAGCAGGTTTGCATCTCCCTAGTAGCACATTTCCTTTGCTCCATCAACCCAGTGTACAGAAGGAAAACAAGCCATGTCGAAGCACCAAGTCCTTCTAGTTGGTACTTGCAAAAGACTGTCTCGCTTCCCTCAAGTGACAGTGCTGGGCCAATCAACAGCAGTACCAGATGAGAGAAAGTGCGTTGAGTCACATGGAAGGTATAAAGGAATTTTTTTTTGCCCCTGAGGTTTGAATGGAGTGACAAGAGAGTGAAGGAAAGGTGAGTATCTAGGGATGGGTGGCATTAAAGCTAATCTGTTGCTTAGAGATTCTATGGGCTAAGCACAGGTTTGCTTGAAAGGCAGCTGGTGACCAGAATTATACATCTGAACGTGTGGTCCAAGAGCAACAACCTTGGGGGATCACCGTATTAAACTACAGCTGCCAAAATGTTCATACAAGGTTTTGAGGAACATGGCCATCACACTCTCAAAAGACCATGGAGTATGTTGTTACTCATAAAAATAGATTTATGCTATTCTGCATATTAAATCTTGAATTCTCTAAACGATGCTGTAGGATTACACTGTTTATTTCAAGAGGCCAATGCCTTTAAAGTGACAGATAGATGTCAATTATACTCACATTATAATATCATAGCTCCGGTCTTCTATGCCAGCACTTTTAAGATCTTCAATATAGCCGTGTACAAAGTTAATATTGGGCTGCTGGTGGCCAAATTTTTTCACATGATAGTCAATGTACTTTCTGGAAACTTCCACCTAAAACAAATCCCTTAAGTATTAGTATTCACTTTATTTATTGAGCTGCTTTGTTAGGTGAGACAAATTATCTATCCAATGACAATCTATATACACAGAAATACTGCTGAGTATTAACAGGTCAGGCGGTTATGGCCATGGCCTATGCAGGGAGGTGTATTTCAGACCAGAGTCTGAACCACTCAATCAGCAATCTATAACTTTGAAAAGCCACACTACCCCAAGCAAAGTATGTGTCCTGTCATTCTGCAGTTTGAGGTAGCAACTGACATGGCACTGTTATACAATTTAACAAACAACATTACAGAGTAAGCTGCATGTAGACAAAATTTAGCATCCCTGGATGTTACATTATTAGAACATGTACAGCAAGTTTAATAGCACATGATCCCTCAGCCACCAAATCCCTGAAATCTGAAGTGCTTACCCGTGGCAAAGATTACCTGTTCATCAGTCATGTCCACTCCAGTGACATACCCCTTCTGTCCAACCAGCTTACTCAGCATATAACAGTCTCTTCCACTTCCACTGCCTAGATCCAGGATCCTGCAGTTCTCCAGACATTCTGGTACCACAATTCCACAACCATAATACCTAACAGAGCACACAACATTATTAGAGAAATACAGAAATCTCTATGAAATCACATGGTTCTGTAGGAAATGTGTAACCTGACAATATTATTATTATACAGGATTTATTTAGCGCCAACAGTATGTGCAGGAGGGATACAATTTCAATACAGGAAGGTTAATATACGAGTACCATCTGAAAAGCCAAAGTAAGGAATTTATTTTCCACTATAGTAGTGATCACACCCAATGTCAGAGTGGAAAATACACGGTCCAACAGCAATGCCCTTGCCGATATGGTAACATCCCACTGAAAGATCACAAATTACATTAAACAAATATATGTATTACTTAAAGACACAAGTCCATACCTTGAAGAGACTTCACTGTGAACCTCTTTTAAGGCATCCAGGATGTATCTGGGAATTGGCTTTGCTGGGGTTACGCATGCATTGGTTTTCAAGTCTTTTGAGTTCTTTAAGTATTTACCATAATATTCCTGAAAAACACAAAAATGTTATCACATATTGCTAGGACAAAGAGTAATTGTGTAAAATAAATGTAGTCATATAATTCCTACTTTACTTTGGACAGGCACACAGAACTTTATCACTAAGATATAATTGGCACACTGTTTGTTACTCTGGACTGCCATAGTAAAGCTGATCATTGAACATCTATTAGGTTTTTAAAATCCTTTGCAACACACCCTCTGTCAAACTGGCAGGTTATCACTAGGACAGAAAGTAAGTGGAAATATCCTTCATGGGAATAAGAACATCACAGTAACACCCAAAAACTAACTACATTTTATCTATCAGAAGCCTAGATTAGTCAAAATAATGGGAGATGAATGCTAATTGGCTGCTAAGAGTCACATCATTGTGTTCATTGCTTTTTGGCTTAGAAAAGAATCCCAATAGTAAATGTGTATAGACAGCTGCAGAATGAGGTTTGTGAAGTACATGCAATACATCCTTGGCTCATGGTGGCAATACCTTGACATCATCATGTGTTTGAAGACCTTGAGAGCAGCAGCTGGATGTGGGAGAGCTAGACAAACCAACAAAGTACAAAACATTAGAAATCTTCAAGGCTATCTGTACTCAAAGTTGAGGCACTCGAGCAGACATTAAAAAATTACATACATACATACATACCTCTATCTAAATACAATTTAGTTTCACACCCACATACATTACATTATCCTAAACTCAAAATGAATTACACTGTAGTCTGGAACCACAAACCCTGAAACTAAAGAAATACCGTATTTGCCGGCGTATAAGACGAGTTTTTAGACTTAAAAACATCCCCCGAAAATCTGGGGGCCGTCTTATACGCTGGGTATGGATGTGCGGTAATACTGCATGTACGGTAGCTGCATATACAGTATACCGCGCTGAACCAATCACGGCAGGCTTTGTATTAATAAATACAAAGCCTGCCGTGATTGGCTCAGCGCGGTATACTGTATGTAGCCGAAGCTACCGTACATCCAGTATTACCACACATCTAGCGGGCTGACAGATTAGACTCCCTGGCGGTCTGAAGAATGTATTTTTTCGTTCTATTTTTTTTTTTACTTTTAAAATTGCCGCCGGTTCCGCCCCCCTGAGATACAGACGCTCGCAAGGAACCCAGAGGACACAGCGGGGATCTTGGACAAGATAAGAGACTGTAATCCCGAGTGTGGCTCGAGGTTACCGCTTATGGTACGGAAAATTAACCCCGAGCCACACTCGGGAATACCCCAATGGAGGTTAGTGGGTGCATTTAAACTATATTTTGGGCTATACATTGTACGATGAGTATAGCCCAAAACCTATGTTTTAACAGAAAAAGTAGGGGGTCGTCTTATACGCCGGCAAATACGGTAGTAGAAGTACAGTGCTTTCCAGAAGTATTCAGCCACGGGCTTCTCCACAAAATGTAGTGCTAAAACTTAGTGTTAAAATGAAATAAAATCCGATTTTTACCATCTAATTTTTTACAACATACTGGAGTACTGACAACATAGCTTTACACAACCGGCGAATGGTGCTAAACATTGTTCATTGTGGCACAAAGGTTAATCAAACAAAAGTGCAGACATTTGTAGGATGCAGAAGTATTCAGCTCTCTCCCCCTGTGTAACCCAAGACATTGACAGGGTTATTCACAAAAGGGTGAAGGGTTTGGAGAATGCAGGAGAAGTGAACAATCTAGGACAACATAGCTGACCTGAAAAAATTACCCAATTCAGCTCACTTTCCAGTTCAGCTATGTTGTCCTAGCCTTCTGCCTTCTCCAAACTCTTCACCCTTTTGTGAATAACCCTGTTAGATTCTTGGTTTTAAACACTCCAGTGTAGCATGGTCTGTATGGTTGGGGTCTTTTTCTGCTGCAGTATTTTTTGCAGTGGAAATGGTATTCCTCCAGAAATGTCCTCAGACTCCATTCATTTAGCCCCCAATTCCGACCAGTTTTCCACTACCTTCTAATGAATAGTATGCACACAACAGGATGTTTGCATGGTGCGGCTTTATATTTTTGGTCCTAGTGTATTCTTCTCACTGTAGTGCAACTGAGGACTTGTTCTACTCTACAACAGACATTTTCCTCCAGTTAGGACAAAGAGTACCCATTGTTGGGAAGAGGGAGTTTTACAGAAGCAGTATAAGACAGAAGATTAAGACCCTCCATGTGACCAATATTTTAGTTCTTCTTTCCTGTGGGAACATTGGTCAATTTGCACTGATTCAAAATAGCACCCTTTTCTGAGAGTGTTTTTAATTGAAACCAATACATAATGTATGTCAATGGGAAGTGAGGGAGTTAGGTTCCAGGCCTCTCTCAAAACAAGGAATGGTTCTAAATAGAAGCTAGTGTAAACTGAAACCCAGTAACTAATGTAAGTCAGTGGAAAGTGAGGAAGTTAGGTTCCCAGTCTCTCTCAAAATTGACATAGGTAACTTAATGCAGGTACATTTTATTTAAAACTCATTGTGTGAGCTCATGCAGCAGCTTTAAATATAATGTACCTGCATTTTATTACTTATGTCAATTTTGAGAAAGGTCTGGAACATAACTCCCTCAGTTACCATTGACTTACATTATATACTGGGTTTCAATTTACACTTTCTATTTACAACTATTCCCTCAGGAACCTAACCCCAGAGTAAATTGAGGGCTACCGGTACTATGATCCTGCTGATTGTTAAAGTAGAGATATTACCAATACCCTGGTCTGATCACGATGCGCTATGTATATCAGTGCCTTGATCATTACTGTGTGTCCTGGTCATTAAATAATACCTTACGTAGTGATCAAAAGATTGTGGATCAGGTGCCACCTGCTGTTAAGGAGTATTTTACAATCAATAAAATATCTGTAGCATCATCTGCCACACTTTGGAATGGCCATAAACCAGCTACCTGGGGCACATTGATACAGATGGCATCTGTTAGGAGAAAGGAAAGGCTTGAGCATTTGAAACAGCGGTAGGAGGAGTATACTTCTTTCTTTAATTTAAGGAAAATCCTACCCCACAGCTTATGGGGGAGTTAGAAGAAGCCCAGGTAAAAATAAACTTATGTTTAACATACCAGGCAGAAAAGGCCCTTAGGTGGAACAAGCATATTTTTTATACGAAAGGAAATAAAAGATTCTTTATTGGCAAATTGCCTATGCAAACCAGATCTCCAGAGATAACCAGGTTGTTTAAAATATAAGGGGCATGGTCTAACAGGCAATCCGGCCAAGATAGTTAAGGCATTTCATAAACATATGCAGCAATCAACGCGAGTTCCATCTTTACCAGATCCACTGTTGATCGATGCCTTTTTTGCAGATTAGACCCTACCTGGGCTGTCCAAATCTTTTTACACAATATTCGAGGCCCTTATAACACAATTAGAAGCAGGGAAAACAGTAAAGAGCTTGTGTATAGGGAAGCACCCGGGACCAGATGGCCTTAAGGTCTTATGCTACAAGAAGTTTTCCGTATTCTTTCACCATATTTGGTAGAACTATTCAACCAATGATTGCAACAAGACCAATTGGTTCGTATTCATTGATGGTTGCTGTGACAATGATTCCAAAGCAACATTCTGATTAGATAAATTGTGGTAAACTATAGGCCAATATTCCTTTTCAATTAAGATGTAAAGATATTAGCAAACATTTTGGCATTTAGGTTGAACAGTGGTATTGTATCTCTTATTGGGAGAGATCAGGTGGGGTTTATGCCTGAAAGACAAGCGACGGATGGGGTCTGGAGACTGTTGCATTTGATGCATCTGCCGAAGCGCAGCAGGCTACAGGCTTCATGCCCATTTACTTGAGAATCCCGGAGTATCGGTTATCTAGATGTCTATTTCACAATAAACTATGAATTACTATAACAGGTAAGCCACCCTAAGGTAATAAGTCAGGTTAAGCAAGGAAGAGATATCAGATATCTTGGCAAAGCAGAATTGCAGCAATAAAAATTATTTTATTACCTAAGCTACTTTACTTTTTCTGGATGCTGCCAAAAGCTATTTCAATGTGTACTATCAGCGGATGTTGCTTCAGTTTATATGGGCAGGAAGTAGACCACAAGTAGCTAAAAATGTACTTGTTTGATCCCGGAGTAAAGGGGCCTTGCAGTCTTATCTGATGTCCTACTACCATGCTGGACAAATTGCACGTTTAACATTTTATTTTATCGGTTCTGCTGCCCCACTCTGGGTAAAAATAGAATCAGAAGAACCCCATTTCTATAGATCAGTGATGGCTAATGTTTTTGAGCCCGAGTGCTCAAAATGTTATTTATCTCAAAGTGCCAACACTTAAAATAAGTTTGGTATTGTGTTTTAGTTTGGGCACTGGGGTTTAAAACATGTTCTGCATCACTGCATTTTTAAATTTTACATTTAAACATTTTATTTTTTCTTATTTTTTACCTTATCACTCTTTTAATTTCATATTTTAAACTTTTTTTACATTCATACTAATCTCATTATATTTTACTTTGTTGTTAAAATTTCTATAGATTTTTTTATCACTTTTAATCTTTTTAGTTTTATATTTTAATTATTTATTTCATTATTTTTTTTTTACTTTTTTTCACTTTATCGTTATCACACAGGGAATAACAAGGCCCTGTGTGATAGCATTTGGAGGTGACAGGTTCTCTTTATCGAACCTATCACTTCCAATACAGGTGTTCTAGCACAGCACTGTGATGGTTCTCCTATGACAGTTGAGATGGGAAGGCTGCATGTGCAGTGTTCTTGTCTCAGTGTTCACATGGAGCAGACCGGAGAACGTCCCCTCTCTCCATCCTGATCGAATGTAACCTGGTCCCAGGGCCCCCAGAAGAGCGGGAGACCTCGAAAATCACATCGGGGAGGGAGGCAGCCAGCAGGGAGAGAGGACGGACCATGCGGGGGGGGGGGGGG